AACCTAAGAGCGATGGCCTCCAACCTAAGAGCGATGGCCTCCAACCTAAAAGCGATGGCCTCCAACCTAAAAGCGAGCGATGGCCTCCAACCTGAGAGCGATGGCCTCCAACCTAAAAGCGAGCGATGGCCTCCAACCTGAGAGCGATGGCCTCCAACCTAAGAGCGATGGCCGCCAGGACATCTTTGCATCTCTTTACAGGTGTATTGGTGAGTTTGTGTTCACGCAGCTAGATCCCCCTTTTGCTTGTGATGATGGCTGCGTCATTCCAGGGACGTTCGTGGACGACGGAAAATGCGATTGCCCTGGAACTTGCAAGGATGAAAGGGATTTCACTTGCGACAACTGCTCTTGTCCTGAGTTTTGCAACCAGGTGCTTGCACCTTGTGTCCCGGTGAGCAAGGCTCATTCTTGCTGTCTTTCAGGAGAACTTTCGTTCTGATGTTTGAACATGTCTGGACGTTGCAGAATCCCAATTCTTTGGGCATTCCCAGATGCGGGACGAAGAGTCCGGGCTGCGTTTTCCCGTGGGTTGATACATACCCAACATATCTTAAGCCAATCGATGCCAATTGAAAAAACCATATATATATATATTATATGTAGATATTGCGATTCATTTGGTCTTTTGATCTAGTGCATTGTGAGGGTCAAGGACGGTCAAGGGTCTTTCGCTGTGCCAGACCCCTACATTCGTTGCCGCTTGTAAACAACCTCTGCATACTCTAATGATATTGTTCTTTTGTCCGTGTCGCAGAACTTGTTAGATTTGTATGTCCCATGTGAGGCAAACAGATTTACTTTCAATGTCCAGGACAGGGTTGATTCCATGAGACCCGTGACAGTCAGGGGAGGGTCAAGTCAGGGCATTGAACCTCCGAGAGGTTGGTGACGTGTTTGAATTGAAAATAGATCCCTCCCATGGAGGAAGTGCCTGCACCATTGACATCTATGCCTTCAATGACAATCGTTGCGACTGCCCTGGGACCTGTGCAGATGAAGAAGCATGGACCTGCGAGAGTTGTGAGCAGTACGGCTACGGCTGCCCAGCAGAGCAGAGTTGCGGAATTGGAAATGATTGTGACAGGAAACTTGGCTTTTTCGGAAGAGAAGCAGGTTGGGAACATTTTACATATTTTTACAGCAATCTAGGCCGGGTCGGAGTTCACTCTGCTCACTTCACACCAAGGAGAATCAGATTCTGTCCAGATCACCCCAACTGCGAGATTGCAGGCTATCAGGTCAACAACAACATTTGCGACTGTCCAAGGTGCGAGGATGAAGCGCATTGGAATTGTGATACTTGCACAGGTGGGTGTCCGAAGACCTGTGGTGCCAGCGCTGGCACCTTCTGTCCAGTGCATGCGCTTCGGGAGACCACCCAGTTGCAATGCCCTGGGAAAGCTTGTGCAATCACTGCAGCCCAGCTGTTTGACGATCGATGTGACTGTCCTGGGACCTGCGCTGATGAATACAACTCACAATGCCAGTGCAGCTTCGGTGTATGCCCCGCAGAATGTGGCGACATCGTTCCATCCTGCAGCACTCTGGCAGTGGCATCCTTTTCCTCCGATTGGACTCAGCGTAGGCGCAGAATGACCAGAGCTGGAAACGAAACCCACCTGATGATGGGCCGCGGTGGACACGAGGATTTGACATAAGATTTTGTCTTTAAGCCCTACACTCCAGCACACGGGCAAAATGCAGAAGATCTCTGTGTCCAATAGAGGGAACTCATCTTCTCGGAACCATTTTCAATGTTACGCGTCGTGCATATACGAGTGTCGTGCGCCATGTATACGGCATCACCGTAGTTCTGCCTCTTGTGTTTCTTCTCCAACTGGCTTTGGTCATCGAGTCGGAGATATGCATTGTTTATTGCAGACAGAAATGCAATCAGCTCATGTCAGACGGTTCTCACAAGGAATTATCGCCGCCATCATGGACTTCACCTTGGCCATCCAACAAGCCATGAGAGAAACGTTTAAATCTATAGACTGGATGGCTGGAGAAGAGGAGTCTGAAGCAGTCAAAACTGAACTGAAGGATGACTGCCATGCGCTGAGGAAGGCAGCATGGAATGCAAGCTCACCCCAGCTTATGAACATTCATGAACCATTCATCAGCTTCAATTTCACCAAGAAAAAACATCCCGAGATTTCGGTTTTTGTTTGGTCACACTGGTAATATAGCAGACGGCTTTGCCCACGTCCTTCTTTTTGGTTTGTGCCCCCACGTCGGCACCGCGCCAAGCGTCTCAGTAATTAAGACTCGCGCAAGCACGTCCACGGCAGGATGCTCGGCCTCGCGTCTCAGCAATTGAGGCCTTCGGACGACAATATGGCCCCTTACTTCCATTCTTTCGGGATGCCCTGGAGAAGTCCCTACTGGCGCGAGCTCCAGGAACGGTTCGTTCGGAATGGGTTGTTTCGGTGGGGAATCGTTCGAAGGTTCGCCATGGTCCATGGTTCTGAAGTTGGTCCATGGCGCGCCAAGTCGGTTGGGCAAAAGACGAACTGAACGCGTTGGACGGCTGTGGGAGTGAAAGCCAGCTGTCAACATCCCGAGGGGAGTGATGAGGCTGGGGAGTCCTCCGAGAGGCTGGGGAATTCCCCGACTCGGTGGGAATGGACCACGATGTCGATGAGGAACACCCTGGGGGGGAGAATCTTCAATGGATGGAGAATGATGAGAAACGCACGAGAGTAGACATGAAGAGTAGACAGTGAAGAGATGTCTTAGTCCTCTGACCCCTTGTTTCATGACATTTCACATGCGGACCGTGGATCTTTGGCAAGCCTCCCTGTATTCGTTTTCTTTGTTCCAGGAGCGATGAGGGCTATGGGAGGCGATGTGTCTGGACCTTCCTTTACGGAGGGCTTAAGCATTTTGATCATACAAGAAGCTGTCGAGATCCTCTTTAGCCCGAAGGACATGGAGGTCATCCGACTGGACCTCGAACAGAGGTTCCAGACTGAAGGCCTGGGGTAATTAAAGACAGGTGAGAACCCTTCACAACAGGTGAGAACCCTTCACAACAGATTCGCTTTCCTCCCAGGCTGTGCAAGAGCCGCTGCCGTTGAGGCTGCCTCCAAAGCCGAAGACCACGTCTCAGCCCTCCTCGCACGTGCGACACGAGACAAGACGGACAGCAACGCTGCTTTCTATGCTGCCCGAAGCAAGTTTCGAAGCTCGGAGTTTCGAGCCGTTTCAGCTTTGGTTGGATTATATCTGACTGGTGCGACGAAAGCAGGGAATGAGGGTGGCTGGATCCAATACAATCTCTATTGGGGGGCTCATTCCCTTATTCCCTACGAAGCACCAGTAGATATAGTGTTGGATTGTGGACTGAGTTCACAAGCCCAGTCAGTGGTTCGTCTTCTTGCCTCAATCATACTCCAGCTTCGGACCCAGCAACACTCGACGCTACACCCGCGGAGTGTGAAACGTCGACCTGGTGTTCTGACCCACGTCTTCTTCGGTTTGTCGATTTGAGGACACGTTGCGCCTGTGGACTTCATCCTGGAAGAGATCATCCTCGTGTCCTATGTGAAGTTTCCAACTGTTCACCCCTTTGTGGACTCCA